GATCGATTAAGTGAAGGAAGTTATGACGCAGAATTGAGAAAAATCATCGATGTTGGTTGGCAATACTACGTGAAGAGTTATGTTAGTTGTCATGAGGATACGTTCAATACACATTATGGGAGCGATTCCAATACTACCACTGTGCCGTAAGTATTCTTTTCATTATGATTAAAATCAATGGTGTTCAAATTTGGGCGGAAACATTGTATCAAAGTAATTAGCAAGTGGAATAAAAATGTTCGAAAAGTATTTAAGAGTAAAGAAAAATGCAAGTACTCGGATTATTGGATTGTTCAATCACAGAATGAAAAGCTTTGCGTCACACATGGTTGCTCATAAAAAAGACCTCCAGTCGCAATATCCCATAGAATCGTAAATAATATTCGTTAGAATTTCAAATTGAAAGAACGAACACTCTCCTGAAAAGAATTTCTGAAGGGGAAACTGTTCTGTCTAATTCATCTAATGCGCACTCTTATCACTCAATTTGCTGTCAGGAATGGCCATTCTTGAAAATTTTTAGCTTAATTCCTTCAGAGGATTGAGAAAACGTACGAAGTAAATTTCAGTTCTGTCATTATTATATATGATGAAAGGACGAATGCACTATCACAATTAGCTCGATGTTTTGATTTACATATTACGAAGAATTACACATTAGGTTCATACAAAGGAACCGTACGGTAAGTGGGATTTGCTAACTGTTCTTTTTTTATTTCTTGGGATTCATGTTCTTCAGTTGTTAATCGTAAATTTTTACCAAGATTGGAGATCGGTTTGAAAGTTCTATAAAGGTTTTTAAATTATTTCAGATTCTCAACTGCATACGCATCTTACGTGCTGGTTGCAAACAGTAGCCCCTTTCTTGTCAAATCCAAAATCTCACGTTGACATCTTACTCTTCGTAATGAAATATGTTTGACAGCAGGTTTCACACTGTTATCCCTTTATGGTGTAATTCTAAATAAATTTGTTTTGGGTGTTTTCAATTCTCATTACACAATTTCTCCTGATATCGATATCAATATCTTAGCAAGAGTGCACGAAATACTTCTATAATGTTCACTGAAACCACTTTCACATAGTATTGTTTTGTCTGCGATCAGTTTTTTGAATTATTTTTAGAAAAAGCACTGCATTGCATCAAAATTCTTTTCTTTGTCGATTTCTAAAAATGTGAATTCAGTTTTAATAAATTGAAAAAACTCATCTTTGTTCCTTCGTTTTTTTTTCGTTTTTATTTGTAAGGTAGATTGCAAGTTCAACTTTCCAAGAAAAAGGGTTGTTATTAGTACCATTTATAAGCATTTAAAAATTTAGGTATTATGTGTACTAGAGCAACTTTTACTGTTAAAAATGTTCTTTTAATCTGGCAGCCATCGACAACCTATATGAATTAATGTACATATCGTAACGATTGACATAGATAACCTTGTTGTCGTGTTTCAGTGGTAGGCAATGTCCGCTGTTTATTTACACTACTCAGTGGATACTGAATTTCACGTCAATACTATTTGGATAATCCATTTGATTCTGAAATGCTCAAATTGAATTTATTACAATTATTTTGCATTTCTTTTCATGTTCAGATATCTTTCCTGTACTTAATCTTGCTCTCTGTTTGTGTGGTAATTTGATGTATAACTAAAACATGCAAATAATGCAAAAATAATTTTTTTAGCACGGTAATAAGTAGTGATATCAGTTATAGGGAAATATTGATTTGATTGGAAAATTGCTTACTTGTATGTTAGGAATGTGTATGTCTAGCAGACAAAGTTTTATGATTGTGACACTTGTACCTATGCAAAGCACAATGTTCCTAATTCATTAATATATTTATTAACAGTATTTTTACATGTCTATATAGCAACATTTACGGGCATTTTTGAACTTTTACTGGGATGAATTCATTATTTTTTAGGATTAACGTGATATTGATAAAAAATTTAGTGAAATAAACCGTTACATATCGTTGTTATCTATAAAAGGGCGTTTTTTTTCAACATACAATATATATTATAACAATCTTCTTCAGCATTGTTTTAAATTATCAAATTTAATTTGATAATTAAATTTGGCAAGATCGAAAAAAACTATTTCGGGAGAAGATAGCATACCATCCTTGTTTGGTACTAACAATAATTTTGAAATTTAATGGGTTTATCAGATTTTCAAATCAAAATAATACTAGCTGCTTGATAGAACGGGCGAATTAAAGTGAAAGGAATTTGGAATTTAGTTGCTATCATCGTTAGTTTTTGTTCTATATTTTATTTGGAGAGAAGTGCTGTTTTAAAAAATGGTATTGAAGACCTCATTAGAATCGAACTGTTGGTGATGCATGAGGCTGATGTGGAAGATTTTAGTTGGTCTTATACGGAAGAACCACATGCTAGCAGGTTAGTTTGTTAATTTGGAAATTTGTCTGAAATTAAATCTAATGCTTGGTGGTCAGCAACGTTGCCGAACAATTTTGAATATTTTGGATGGTGCCGTACGCCTATAAATTCTTTCAGACGAAATGAGATAATCCAGAAGTATCCGGAAATCAAAAAATATTTCGGTATTGATCCATCATTTAAATATGTCGTCACGGCAGCGGTTATTGCACAATTCAGCATTGCTTGGCTTTTACGAGGTATATTTATAACTGGAATAATTTCAACTAATTTAGATTCAGAAGTAATTTAAATGGAATGTTTTTTCCTAAATTATTATCAAATGATAAGAGAGCGTATGATGTTTTTTCCTAAATTATCAAATGATAAGAGAACGTATCAGCAGTTGCTCTATTTATAAAAAAATCCGGATTAAAATTTTGATGAATGCCTTACCAGCTATAATTTAATAGAAAAATTATGTGGTTTTAAGGTGTTATGCTTCATTTTAATGTTTGATAGTTTGTTTAAGAATTTTTTTGTTTTTAGTGATAGATAAGATCTCATATCTACAGAAATAAATATAGACACTGGACAGAATAGCTAACATCAAAAGTGTAAGATCTGAATAAGTCAAAAGTAATAATATCGACAAGTCTTCATACATCCTACACAAAATGTTAAGGTTTTATAAATGTTCCGTGTATCATATTTGTTTTTTGTTCGAAAAAGACTTATTATTTGATCACAGATTCGGACTGGTTATTAATTTGTTTGCAAGCATATTTTGCTGGTGGTACTATTGGACATTCACTTACATTGGCTGTTCATGAAATATCGCACAATATGGCTTTCGGTTGTGCTCATCCTCTTGCAGTTCGTTTCATTTTGTTTTCGCTACAGAAAAAAACAGCGATGACGTGGAAATCAAACGGTGTCGTGAAATTTTTTTCTGTTCGAGTAGTTCAGTTTAAAGCGTGCAGTTTTTTACTGCCCATATGACGATTCTTAGTACCTGAGTCTTAATTTAAACAGTAAAAAGTTCATACTAAACATAGAGAAGAAAAAAGAAAGTCAGTTTTTCTATTTAATTAATCTCTGACAAAGAGGGAATAAACGATGAGCATATTTTGGAGGAAAGCATAAGCTCCATTTTTGAGAACAAGAATTGATAAATAATTTGAACTTGGTAACTGGAATAATTGATGGAGCTTACTGATTCCGTAAGGTAAATTGTTCTTTTAAGAATCGTTTGTTTGGATTTATCGCTAATCTACCGATGATGGTGCCTATGTCGGTTTCCTTTAAAAAATATCATTTGGAACACCATCGCTACATGGGTAATACTTTCTTCTACAGTATAGTGGAATATTTATATTTTAGTCATATTTCCAAATGTAAATTCCAAATATAAAATTGTTAAGACTTCTGTTTAACTGAAAAAATATATTATTTCTAGAATAGTTCAGTTTTTCAGGTGAGGAAGTATTGGATACTGATATACCAACAGATTTCGAAGCGCGTTACTTTCGTCGTACTTTTGGGAAATTGTTATGGGTCTTTCTC